AGTTTATTCACCCCAAGGGCTATCCATTACAGCAGAATGGCAACCCCTCATCTGGGCTATTACATCCGGCATAGGAATTACAATTGTTCACATAAGTTGCAATTTGGTCACAACCTACCACAGCATGCCTCTACATGTGTCAGTCACTAGGCCATCACTCTCATGTTACATACGACCCACCGCGAGCAATCCACTACGACTCAATTTTGGCACACAGGTGGGCAATTACATACGACCATGGTCACATAAAACCACTCAAAATCCTCCCTATACGGCATTTCTCAGCATTTACAAATCCAGTCACAGACACTTACGTGATCTCCAATATTAGTTCCCGATGGTAAACTAGGAATGTCCCACATACTTATAATATACATACATAATTCAGGTTCTTCTAGTGGAAGGACGCCCAGCGGGAACTCACAATATATTTAGGTGTCTCTTCCCTATACATATATATATCTTCAACTAGGGTCATCTACATATGTAGTCACCCGATGCAGCGGTTTACACGGGACTTACTGCAATCTCAGGGGACAATTGGCTATGGGGTAGGTGGCCGGGGTAAGTAAGCCAGATCGAAGGGTTCCTTAGGAACTCTGCACGTTTCAAGGTATATCTCATCGTAGCAGCAGCAGCAACATGGGGTCATTCATGGGCATGCAGACCGGTTCGAGATCTCTGACAATTTGTCATTGGCCATGCCATAAACAAGTCCGGTCTTGTATCCCTTATTTCATCAGATGACTAACGTGGGGGAAGCCGGTCACCAATTTTATCTGGTATGTTACTATGTACTAGGCATTCACAATACAGCTGCTGGCCAGTTATCTAGTCTTCAGTTTCAGGCGTTCAGGAGGTCCCTAACAACTGCCTCACCTATAGCCACGCTCACTCCCCAGCTCTAAGAATTACCTAAGGAATAGAAGAGTGGCTAAGTCACAGTAAGAATTCACAGTTGACCCTCAAAGAATAAGCACACTGCTATGACAGAGTTTACTGCACATATCGAAGGTCATGTCAGATAACCACGGTACAAACTGGTTCAAGTATACAACGTTGCGGGCTTTCGCCACTTTTTGCCACATCAAAACAACGTCACACAACACCATTAAGTTATATCTCCCGGACATTCAACGCCACATGTTTTCAGTTACAAACACCATTCTTAAAAAAAAATCGCCATATACTTGGCTTTTATGGTTTCCCACGACCAGAGAATTTACCATCATAGGGCAACACGATTCAAAGCTTTGCCTACGGTATTCTAACCTGTACAAATACAGGATCACTTCGTATTAACTTACCATCAACTACGTCCAGCCAGTGGGGTCACAAGGTACTTATTCAGTACTACACCACCAACAACGCTTACCTCAGCTGACACAGGAATTAAGGAATGCATTTGTGTAATGTCACCGTAATACGCTAACTTCATGTCTTGTGGTTTCGTAATAAACATATTTGATTACACTATATGGGTATTCCTTTTTGCCCACTTATTTACACGCCTACCACACACGTCGGTTTCAGCACACATCTACCGACTTTTTGATTATTGTGATAAGTATACTCTCTAGCTATTTCATACTATACTGAAATGGCCCCGACCACAAATTGGAAGGTGGGGCCTGAAGTTTTGGGAGGGGCTATGTCCCTTTAAAAGGGACTCCCCCTTCTTCCTAAACTTACCTACTGGTCCAGACGTACTTCTGGCTCTCCCTCTATTCAATACTCTTTAAGGTAGGCCCACTTATTTACAGGTATTCAATACACTTTAAGGTAGGCCCACTTATTTACAGGTCTACCACACACGTCGGTTTCGGCACACCTGTACCAACATTTTGATTATTTTGATTATTGTGATAAGTATACTCTCTAGCTATTTCATACTATACTGAAATGGCCCCGACCACAAATGTACACTGCTCAAAAAAATAAAGGGAACACAAAAAAAACACATCCTAGATCTGAATTAATTAAATATTCTTCTGAAATACTTTGTTCTTTACATAGTTGAATGTGCTGACAACAAAATCACAAAAAAATTAAAAAATGGAAATCAAAGTTTTCAACCCATGGAGGTCTGGATTTGGAGTCACACTCAAAATTAAAGTGGAAAAACACACTACAGGCTGATCCAACTTTGATGTAATGTCCTTAAAACAAGTCAAAATGAGGCTCAGTAGTGTGTGTGGCCTCCACGTGCCTGTATGACCTCCCTACAATGCCTGTGCAAGCTCCTGATGAGGTGGCAGATTGTTTCCTGAGGGATCTCCTCCCAAACTTGGACTAAAGCATCTGCCAACTCCTGGACAGTCTGTGGTGCAATGGAGGATGGAGCGAGACATGATGTCCCAGATGTGCTCAATTGGATAAAGGTCTGGGGAATGGGCGGGCCAGGAACTGCTGACACACTCCAGCCACATGAGGTCAAGCATTGTCTTGCATTAGGAGGAACCCAGGGCCAACCGCACAAGCATATGGTCTCACAAGGGGTCTGAGGATTTCATCTCGGTACCTAATGGCAGTCAGGATACCTCTTGCGAGCACATGGAGGGCTGTGCGGCCCCCCAAAGAAATGCCACCTCACACCACTACTGACCCACTGCCAAACCGGTCATGCTGGAGGATGTTGCAGGCAGCAGAACGTTCTACATGGCGTCTCCAGACTCTGCCACATCTGTCACATGTGCTCAGTGTGAACCTGCTTTCATCTGTGAAGAGCACAGGGTGCCAGTGGCGAATTTGCCAATCTGTTCTCTGGCAAATGCCAAACTTCCTGCACTGTGTTGGGCTGTAAGCACAACCCCCACCTGTGGACATCGGGCCCTCATACCACCCTCCTCCTGTTCCTCCTTGCACAAAGGCGCAGGTAGCAGTCCTGCTGCTAGGTTGTTGCCCTCCTCCACGTCTCCTGGTGTACTGGCCTGTCTCCTTGTAGCGCCTCTGGACACTTCACTGACAGACACAGCAAACCTTCTTGCCACAGCTCGCATTGATGTGGCATCCTGGATGAGCTGCACTACCTGAGCCACTTGTGTGGGATGTAGACTCCGTCTCATGCTACTACTAGAGTGAAAGCACCGCCAGCATTCAAAAGTGACCAAAACATCAGCCAGGAAGCATAGGAACTGAGAAGTGGTCTGTGGTCACCACCTGCAGAACCACTCCTTTATTGGGGGTGTCTTGCTAATTGCCTATAATTTCCACCTGTTGGCTATCCCACTTGCACAACAGCATGTGAAATTGATTGTCACTCAGTGTTGCTTTCTAAGTGCACAGTTTGATTTCACAGAAGTGTGATTGACTTGGAGTTACATTGTGTTGTTTAAGTGTTCCCTTTATTTTTTTGAGCAGTGAATATTGCTATGCATCTTGTGATTTATGTATCCTTTTTTTTTTTGGTTATGCAATTGTGCCTTTACTTATTATTGTGAAAGTGAACAATATAGGTATATATCAGCTCTGCCATTGAGCATAGTACTGTAAGAAAACCTGTTATTACAGTACCTATATCTAGGTTTTTTGCATCATCTCATCAATGTAGTATCACATATTATTATATTAATCTAAGGTACATTTGTGGGCTACCTTGATTTAGTAATGACAGGAGGAGAGTATTTTTCCTCCCTGCTTCGCTAGCCCACCCTTTCTGTTCGTTTTCTTTATATGTGTCACTGGTCTAAGGTAGGTTGGGCTCTTCGTGTTTTGTGTTTACATTGATGATTTGTTACTGGAGTTTTACATAATAGTTATTCAGTTATCAGATTGTAATATACAATTTACTACTATGGAATGATGGTATACGGTACATTATTTGGATTTCCATGTTCATGACTATGTGTCTAAACCTGTCACACATTCTCTTTCCAGTATGATTCATCACTAAAGACATTTGGTTGTTCGTTTGTAATTTCCTTGAGGTTTGCTCCTTTTGGATTTTGATTCGTCCCTGAAAACATTTTGGTTGTTTGTGTGGAATTCACAGGGAAGTTTGCTTCTTTGAATGTTGGATTTAGGAGTTATTACTATTGCTTGTTATATGTTTGCTTCTGCTTAATGTCGCTTTCTGAAAGAGGAAGTGATTAGGTCATTACATCACATGCGATTGGTTCTTTTTTTCTATGTATTTCTTTGCTGCTGTGTGGAGCTAGTAAAGAGATATTATGCAAACTACTCGCCTCCTGTCATTATTAAAATTAAGATTATTAGTACACTAAAGCTAGTATAATTCAATTGTGTAGGGTTTCAGTTCACTTCTTCTGGTATTTATTCCAACAATATATTCATTTTTATTTTTTTTTAATATAAGTAACAAAAGAGTCTGAGTTTTAACACTTTTTCTTCAGATATAGTGTTCCTGTAATATTAAGGTTGGATCACCAAGATTTTGCTATTTTCCATATATTTTTAAGCCCATATTTAGAGCAGATTAACTCTCTCCAGCTAAAGACAGCGTGTATTAATATCTACTTTTCTTTCTTTTTCTTGCTTTAATAATTTTTTATTAGTTATGTATTTTTGTATGGGTAAATATTTTGCAGGGAGGACAAAAGTGACAGTACACTGTAAAAAATCTCCATATCATTTGAATGGTGCTAATTCTTTCCACCCCTTATTCAGATTATGTGACTTTGAGGTCCACCTTTTTGTTGTACCTAATGTAACAATGCAATGATTTGTGGACCCAGGAAATACTTGAAAATAAGAGAAATCTCAATGTATCTTTCCTGGTAAAATATTTTATAAATAAATAAATAAATGTAACTGGTAGGCCTATGAGGAGCATTTTCAGACTGCCCTTTCATGATGGGAATAACATGCAGAGTACTTTTATCATACACAAAATGTCCCATTATCCACCTATATTTGATTTTTTTTTCATTGTTTTATGTTTTTTGTTAAATATTTATAGTACTAATACTGTGAGTACAAATGGTCTTATATCGGCAATATATGTGAATAAAAGGATCAATGTTTGTAAAAAAAATACTTACGCTTGCAGGCCTTTCGACTGGAAATAGGCTTACTCATATCTCGTTTGTACCCTTGCTTGCAGTAGTGACAGTGGCGCCCAGCAGTGTTGTGTCGGCAATTTAAGCATATACCTCCACTTTTTCTACCAGAAAGCTTGTATAGCTCCATATTAAATCGACAACGATGAGAATGTAAATTGCACTCACAAGCTGGGTGATAAGAATTGACAGGTAATTAGTAATATGAATATCAACAGCATTTCTAGTTCATAGACACATATTTTTTTAATGCGACCTTAAATATTTAGAGCTGAGTCTTTCAGAGTTTTAAAGGTTTACTGGGCAACAAATTCCCCACAGACTTGAAAGAAGGAATTGCTATTCATTATGCAGAGTAAAGCCTTACTCTGCTAAGAGAATGCAGCATTTTGTGTCTTATATAGCACTCCCAGGTAATTCTTTCAAAACTTCTTTACTTGGAAAAGTGTAAAAGTCAGGACGCTTAACCAAAACACCCTGAGTGATTGTTGACAGGACAGGAACGTTTTTAGGTTGAGCCGCATCCCAGTTACCACAGGAGATAGTTCTCATCACATACTCAATGGATTAATCTGCACACAGCTGATTTCAGCATCCGGTCTTGCGCCCTGGGAGTCAGTATGCCAGCCCACCCCACAGCTGAACTGTAAGTAATTGATTTATTGCCTTATTTATTGTTTAGTTTGTTGAATATCACTTGTGGTTGTCCTGATGAAAGTCCCTTGGTGGAACGGAAACATTAACTTTTACACTTTTTCCAAGTAAAGAAGTTTTGAGAGAATTACCTAGGAGTGCTAATTTTTGTGTTCTATACATTTAGTGCAATCGAGCACCGGGTCAGGAAAACTGTAAGTAGGAGTGCAAAGCTTTTCTTTCATATATATATATATATATATATATATATATATATATATATATATATATATATATATATATACACACACACACACACACACACACACACACACACATCACATTTGTACTCTCTGCATAAGCAAGGTACATTATTATGGTTTTATTAATTTCATAATTCTAATTAAATAAATGTATTGAGAAACTTACCGACACATTCATGTGCATTGCTTGGTGTTGCTCTCTGCCAGGGTCTATCATAATAAAAGGGTTTGCAAACATCACACTCTGGACCAACTGTGTTGTGCTGACATTCACACAAAAGCCCATCTTTGCCATCAATGCAACGAGAAGCATGCCCATTACATTTACACCTTCCTCCAACCTGAAGTTCTGATATACCAAAAAAAGCTGTCTTTCTTCGAATCCCGATTTTTTTGCCATAATGTAGACGATTAAATACCACACGTATGTCTGTAGCAGTTACCCAGTCTTGCAAAACAGGACTATATTCAAATCTACGAGCTGAAGGACGTCCTGCTAGTGGCATAAATGCCACAAGTCCTTTGGTGAGAGGTTTGACCCCTGTTTGAAAGTCAGTACATGTGGCTTCATGTTGCATGGGCTTTGTAATGGCACTTGTAGTTGCTTGATCGTATACTCGACGACAGTGAGAAGAATAAAATTGGAAAGGAATCCAGGTCTTTCCATAGTCCATTGATTTATAGATTGCCATAGAGTCAGGGCGTGGGGAACAAAAACGCAAGCTGACATAAACTAGCTCAAACCTACGACTCAGAGGAAGAGTCAAGGTAACATTTTGTAGAAGTGTGATTCCACTTTCTGACCTCCAACATGTTTGGGCATCCGTGTCAGTCATATATGAAGGTGGGTAAGATGTCTCTGCTTTTTTCTGATCACACAGCTGACACCTACGTGATGTTATATTTGTGGAGTCCAGGAAATAACAAAGTTTCTGGGGTACACGACCACAAGTGTTGGAAGTAATTACCTCTCGTTCAAGAGCCACATTGATGAAATCTGGTATGCAGTACGTTGGCCTCTGTTTAGCATCATAGCAAGGGCTCTTTGGAGACCGACCATGGGTTGAAGCTTTATTGGAATTGTTTTCCTGCCCTTTTGGCACTGGGCATAGAAGGGAGATGATATAAAAAGGAATAAAGCCCCACCAAATTCGATGCATCTCAGAACAATCAGGATGTTGGAAACATTACCTAAGAAAAAAACAAAGGGGACATATAAAAATGTGTATCAGTGTGTGTGTACATATATATATATATATATATATATGCGCAACATCTACAAAACAGGTTGTCAACAATTATAACTATCTATTTTTCTTTCTCCCTCTGTCCATCTAGAATAATGCTGTATACATATACATTAATGTTCCGCTAGATCTACGAATGAAAGTTGTAACGATGCCAACAGCACTCTTTGTCTCTGTCCTCTCTCCTGCAATGTGAATACTAATTGGGGGCTTTATATACAAATACTTTGTTAAAGTATAGCTAATTTTCCTCGCACTATTTTGTTTTTTTTGACCATTTCAATGAACACAATAAAATGTGTATATTCACATTTTGGTGTGAAATATACTGGCCAAATATTAAAGGAATATAAATGTGAGAAACCTGAGAAGCCAATGTATCAAACTTAGTCAACACAATAATTCCATTCGACATCCATGTCATCATGAGATTCTATCTGGTATTTAATCTCTAAGTGTCTATTGTTTAAAATTACAGCCCCCGTGTGAATCTTAATGCAATGTGACTGCAGTGTAAAAGGATAAATTAATTACATTTTCATTATAACATAGAACCTGAATGGTAATTCTAAAATGACCTCATTACTAGCAAACAACGAGTGTAATTTAGTCTTATGTTTTCAGTACTAGTAAAGGTTCTCTAAATCTATTCTCCAATTTTGGCTTTAAACATAGATAATTATGCAAAGTTGGTTCCTTATTTTTGTTATTTATAGAGTGTTTCTGAATATTTTTTGTGAAATACAGAAATCATAAACCTGAATTATCTACAATTATTAGTGTAATAGAGTAAGCAAATTATCTCCCAATTTCATTATATCAAATGGAAAGTGTAATGGATCACCTGGCACCCCGACTGGGTACCTCCTAGAGCTTCCTGAGGGCTCCAAGCACTCCAGCAGACACCATAACCACCGTAGACTCCTTCAGAGAGAAAGACAGGAACAAGCTCTTACAAGAGCTTAGTAGTGATATAGCAAGAGAGTATGCCTAGCATAGCAATCCCTTGTTGCAGATTCCCCCAATAAGACAAGGCACTCCAAATTGAGGGGTAAGTATAACTGAAGTTTTAATGAAACATTGCTTTTATGCACATTTTACACACATAGTACCGCCCACAGGGTTTTGCAGAACAACCAATCAATATGTTACAACATAGCTAAACACTCCCATTCATTACATCAGAAATCCTCCCCTCTGCATGTGATACAATTATTTCAACACAATAGACTAACTTAATTATCCCAGGCAGAAAATATACAGTTTTTACACAATATGAATAACTTTCAAAATATACATGCCATTCACATAAAACATAAATTTTCAGAATCAGCATACTCAAAATATTATACTCAATATAATACTCAAAAATCAGGGCAATCGGTTCAGGGGTTAAAAAGTTAGCTGGAAGTTCTTTGTGACCGACCGCAAGCACATTTTCCTGCCCAAAACAGTTCCATAGATTTGGGCTGTGCAGTCGGTCTATTTTACACTGAAAAAATGACTAAGTCCCATTTGAACATGCGTTCGAAGCGCTGAACAGGACTTAGTCTCCAGCCGCAGAGTCGAAGTGGAGTAGAAGGTACGGGTCAGCGGTTTTTGTGCAATTGGGTAGCCGAAAACAGTTCCATAGATTTGGCTGCACACACAGCTGACCGTGTTCAAATGAATAAAGATAGCCGCTGCTTTGTGTTCGTTTGTATGAACGGCGGCCACTCAGCAGTCGGCAATTTACCTACAGCAACCTCCCAGCCTGGGAGGTAAATTGCCTACACACTTCCAGTTCTGGGTGGTCCGCCTGTACAGTACTTGGTTCAGTAAGCCCCATTTACTGAACCAAGTGGGAAAAGGGCACAAAGAAAGTATTTTAGGGGCCTGGGGAAACAGTCTTAAAGGGGCATTGTTCCCAAAAGTCACAGTATGTCCCCAGATGGTTCTTAAAGGGCCAGCACTAGCGCAATACAAATCCATTATGCCCAAATCATTTCTTTAAAGGGAAACACCCCCAGGGGCCATAGTCACAGGGCAGGAGGCGGGCAAGCAGGCCCCTCCAAAAACTTCTGTCAAGCTCCCTTAAAGGGGTGAGTTTGCAACAGAAAGAAATAAAGATGTTGCTACCAATGCACTCATCAAAGTAATTAAGAAATACATTTAAAAGAACCCAAAGAAGATGGATTTGAAAAGCTTCTACAAACTACAGAGCTAAATGTATATATTTTGGTATATATGTAAATTCCTTTACTTTAAAAGATACTTCACTTACATTTTACTGTTCCCGAGTTTGGGTGTAAAACTATGTATTTTTCTATTTATGTGTTAATGTGATTTGTTCCTGATACCGCATACAATATGAATGTCATCTCTTCATGTGTGGTCCAGAACCTGTGATCCTACATCATCAGCTCCAGGATGAGACCGTTTATCCCAAGATGTGGGGCTGATTAAAACATACCTTGTGGGTTATAGATACATAGCTTTCAGAAATGTTATATCCTAGAGAGCAAGCTTGTATTGCATGGATAGATCCATCAATAGTAGTTATTAGCATCAAGCTGCAGTAAGTAGATGTTCTTAACCTTGGAATAACAGTCAAATCATATGTATGCAGTGATGACAAATACTTTGAACTTAGAGAACCTATTTGGCATCTTTTATACAAACTGTTTTTGTGTCACCAAGTCTTATGGAGTGTATCTTGCATCATGCTTGCATCTTCAGAACTAATGCACCTTATAGATTCTTATATCATTTAAAAAGTACTTAAAGGAGAGTAAAAATAATATGCTAAAGCATTCAAAAGATAACATTAAAAAGACAACTACAAATGCCAGTGTGACAAACTGCCCTTTGCCACTGGCTTTTGGAGAAGCCTGCTTGCCAGCCTCTTGCCCTGTGACTATGGCCCCTGGGTTGTATTGCCATTTAAAAAGTGTATTTGGGCTCATTGGATTTTTAAAGCACTTTTTCTGCCCCTTTAATTCCATGGGAAAACAAGCCTCTTCCTCTCCCACTTTTTTTTAATCCTATTGTTCTCCAGCAGGGCATTGCCCCAGGTACACTGCCAGACCAGTTGAAACTGGCTGCTTTTTCCCTCCTCAATCTTTCATTAGCCCTTGCTATTGTTTAACCCCATGGCGATCCAACTGTATTCGTGGGATCTGAGCGCTTTTCGGACATATTGAGGGCTCAGATCCAAGCTATCTGAGGATATGTTGGACATATAGGTTAAACATTGTATTATATGAGTTATGTATTTTTATGTTGTTTTTGTAACAGTGTTTGGACTTAGAGATAATTGGCTTACTACAGCAACTTAAGCCAATTATCTCCAGGATAGAGGAGAAGATAAATCAGCCGCACAGCCTAAATCTGTAGAACTGTTTTGGGCATGAAAGCCATGCTTGCGGTTGGTCAAATATGACTTCCATAAAACATTTGAACCCTTGCTCTGATCTGGTGATTTTTGGATATGTTATTCACCCAGATCAGGGCTATCCAGGGATGTAGGATATGTTGCTGTTTTGGGGTGTTTCTATGTTTTAGGTAAAACTGTATATTTTCTGCCTGTGATAATTAAGTTAGCCCATTGTGTTTGTTAATTGTATCACAAGCAGAGGGGAGGGTTTGTGTGCCTTAGCTGGGAGTGTCTGACTGTACTGTACTGTGTTGAATGGCTGTTGTAAATTAGTGTCCTGTGTACCACAAGGTCCACGTGGGTGGTAATCTTGTGGGAAAATGTGTATATAAGAAAGTCCTGTGTGCTCATTAAACCAGTTATACTTGACCCTCAACCCGCACCCTTGACTCATGTTTGGAGGGTCAGCTATAATCACTACAGGTCCATTATAGCTCGTCATACTCCCTTAGCTTCATTAAGCTCTTGTAAGAGCTTGTTCCTGTTTCACTCTTTGTAGGAAGAGAGGTTCACCCACTGGAACCTGGAGCCTCATTGTAGGTCCAGGGTGGGTAGGAGACGGAGAGACCCCAAACAAGCTGCAGCAGTTTGTGGGGATCTGCAGTGCTTATGGTGTCTGGTGCGGTGCTGGTGGTCCTTGGTGAGCGCTAGGAGTATCCTTTCTATGGTCCAACCCTCAGCTAGCCTGGTGCAACCGTAACAGCCAGAAAACAAATATGCATTCATAGCAGGCTGAATAGGTAATTAAGGTTAATGAAGAAAAGATTATTGTTATAATAAATACATTTCACTAATTGTGGTCATACCTAGTAACCTATTATGTGTAGGATTCTAACAGCACAGTTCACATACAAGATAATATGCAATACTGTCTTTATGAGGGAAATTTTAAGCCTTGCAAAAAAATTAAATAAATCAGGCTCAAAATTTAAGAATTTTTCAAGTGGCAAATGTCTGCTGTTTTGAAGCACTTTCAGCAAGCTATCATGTGTTTGCTTTTGAAGCCAACTAATCACTGTTCATTCCCAGGCAAGTCTTACTCTGTTCTCTGACCTTCCCCAGATAATAGTGGAGTCTGATAACCACTATTATTCAATTAAGTATACAAGATATATTACATGAATGTAATTAATATTTTTAATATAAAATAGCTAATATACAGCTTAATTTCACATATACCATATGATGCAGGAGGATTATCTACCAAAGAGACCTGGATAAAATCGGTTATGTATATACTTCTTCCTCTTATACATCATTTCTTAATATGGGATAAATATGTTATGGTGCTGTTTGTGTGTGTGTGTTTGTGAGGGTGTTATTTTTTTTAAAGTGCTGTGTGTGTTTGTGAGGGTGTGGTTAGTGTACTGTGTGTGTGTGTGAGCTCTATGTGTGTAGGTGCTGTATGTGTGTGTGTTGTATGTTTGGAGGGATTGTGAAGGTGGGGGCAGATTAGTAAATCCTTGCTGCCATGTGCCATCCCTGGTGGTCCAGTGGA